ATTTATTGGCTCTGAGTCTAGAAAATTACCTGGCTGATGTAGGATTTTGGCCCTTTGGAATGATGTAGCTCAGACCAAATCAAATGTTAACCAAGCCACAGCTGGCTGAGATATTTCACATCCTACCAACCACGCACTTGCAGATAACACTGGTGACAGAATGACTATAACTAGTCAGCTTTGGAGGCAGACACAACTAGATGTGAACCCTCATTCTACTTATTACTATCCATGTGACTTTACAAAAGTTAATTTCCTTAGTCCTGTGTTTCCTCACCCACACTACATGGATAATATTATTTCACACTGGGGCAGGCCAGGCACATAACAAATATCCAGTAAATGATAGTTATTTATAATTTCCTTTATCTATTTGTGTGTACATTCTTAGGTCCTTGGGTGGTGCAAATGGTTTGCAATCCACTACTAACAGAAACATTGGCAGTTTGGACCTGCCCAGCAGCACTGTGGAAGAAAGGCCTAGCAATCTGCTTCCATAAAGATCACAGACAAAAAAGACTCTATGGGGCTCAGTTCTACTCAGTAACACTTGGGGTTGTCATGAGTCAGAATCAACTCAGTGGCAAAGGCTTTGGAGAGAGATATGTATGTATCTGTGTATATAAATGTATATATACACATAAATATATGTATGTATATAGACACACTTATGTATATATGTATATATACATATATATGTGTGTGTGTGCATATATATATACACACTTAAGTTAAACCTGTTTTTCAAAGTGAATATGGCTCAGTTGGTACTGCGCATTTTGCATCAAATAATCCTTTTATGTCTTCGTACATTTCCAAGTAATCAGAACTCCTGCAGGCATTTTTTAGGATGGCCTCAAAACTGAATAAATCAAGTGAATATGTGTCCTCTTTTTCCTAGCACTTACCTTGTGTAGGTCAGGTGGGCAGTACTTTATAGAACTGTGACAAAGTGGGTTATTCTTGGTTAATTTTGCCTCTCTCCTCCAGGGCATTGCCTTACACAACTTCTGAAAACCCCATTTATATTGGGTCTATGTTCTCCAGGGAGCACTAAATTACCCATAAATTGCAGTGTAAACAGCGTCCCCTGGAGTTGTGCAAATGGCGGAGCTGCTTCTGTCAGCAATCTTATTATTCTCTAAAAAGGCATAATAGTGTTTCTAAGTCAAACGTATTTGGATTCAAACCTCTGGTAAGATCCCAAACCAGTGGTGAGATCTTGGGCTGACAAGTATGTGAACCTCAGTTTCCTTAGTTGTAAAGTAACTATTACTAATATTAGTGTGTTGTCATGAGGATAAACATGCACACAATAAAAATAGTAATGGAGTAGCTAACACTTATATAGTATTAGCTGTGTTCCAGGCACTATTCTATGTACTTGGCATATCTTAACTTATTTAATCCTTATAATAAACCTATGAGGTAAATATTCTCTTGTTACTCCCATTTTACAGATGAAGAAACAGGCATAGAGAAGGTAAGTAATTTCCTTGAGGTAAACGGACATACTGATACTGAAACCCAGTCATCTAACTCTAAAATTTGTATTCTTAATCATTGGGCTATATATACATACATAAATACATACATACATGCATACACACATACTTATATATATACACACACACACATCTATATAGTTATCCAACAGTACTATTAAACACTGCCCAGTCCTGTGCCTTCCTCACAATCATTGCTACATTGCTATGCTTCAGCCCACTGTTGCAGCCACTGTGTCAATCCATGTCCTTGAAATCTCCTCTTTTTCTTTTACCCTCTACTTTACCAAGCATGGTGTCATTCTCCAGAGACTGGTCCCTCCTGGTAACAAGTCCACCTGAGATGAAGCCTCACCATCCTTGCTTCTAAGGAGCATTCTGGCTGCACTTTTTCCAAGACAGATTTGTTCACTCTTCTGGCAGTCCATGGTATATTCAGTATTCTTCGCCAACACCATAATTCAAAGCCATCAATTTTTCTGTCTTTCTTATTCATTTTCCAGCTTTTGAATGTGTATGAAGCAATTGAAAATATCATTTCAGGCACACCTTAGTCCTCAAAGTGACATATTTGCCTTTTAACACTTTAAAGAGGTCTTTCGCAGATTTGCCCAATGCAATACATTGTTTGATTTCTTGACTGCTGCTTCCATGGGCATTATTTGTAGATCCAAGTAAAATGAAATCCTTGACAACTTCAAATCTTTTCTCCCTTTATCATGATGTTGCTGATTGGTCTACTTGTGAGGATTTTTGTTTTTTTTTTATGTTGAGGTGTAATCCATACTGAAGGCTGTAGTCTTTGCTCTTCATTAATAAGTGCTTCAAGTCCTCTTCACTTTCAGCAAACAAAGTTGTGTCATCTGCATATCACAGGTTGTTAATGAGTCTTCCTGCAATCCTGATGCCATGTTCTTTTTCATATAGTCCAATTTCCCGGATTATTTACTCAGCATAGAGATTGAATAAGTATAGTGAAAGGATACAGCCTGGCGCACACTTTTCTTGACTTTACTTCATCCAATATCCTCTTGTTCTGTTTGAACGACTGCCTCTTGTTCTATGTACATGTTTCTTATGTGCACAATTAAGTGTTCTGGAATTCCCATTCTTCACAATGTTATCCATGATTTGCTTATGATCCACACAGTCGAATGCCTTTGCATAGTCAATAAAACGCAGGTAAACATCTTTCTGGTGTTCTCTGCTTTCAGCCAGGATCCATCTGATGTCAGCAATGATATCCTTCTTCCATATGTTCTTTTGAATGAGGCTTGAATTTCTGGCAGTTCCCTGTCAATGTACTGCTGCAAACATTTTTGAATTATCTTCAACCTAATTTTACTTGTGTGTGATATTAATGATATTGTTCAATAATTTTCACATTCTATTGGATCACCTTTCTTTGGAATGGGCACAAATATGGAGATCTTCTAGTCAGTTGGGCAGGAAGCTGCCTTCCAAATTTCTTGGCATAGACAACTGAGCACCTCCAGCGGTGCATTCCGTTTATTGAAACATCTCAACTGGTATTCCGTCAATTCCTGGACCCTTGTTTTCACCAATGCATTCAGTGTAGCTTGGACTTTTCCTTCAATACCTTTGTTTCTTGATCATATGCTACCTCCTGAAATGACTCTGTGTATTCTTTCCATTTCTTTTGATGCTTCCTTCATCGTTCAATATTTTGCCCATAGAATCCTTCAGTATTACTACTTGAGGCTTGAATTTTTTCTTCAGTTCTTTCAGCTTGAGAAATTCCAAGTGTGTTCTTTCCTTTTGGTTTTCTAACTCCAGGTCTTTGCACATGTCTTTATAATACTTTACTTTGTCTTCCCGAGCTGCCTTTTGAAATCTCCTGTTCAGTTCTTTTATTTCATCATTTCTTCCATTTCTTTAGCCACTTTACATTCAAGAGCAAGTTTCAGAGTCTCTTCTGGCATCCATTTTGGTCTTTTCTTTCTCTCCTGTCTTTTTAATGATCTTTGGGGTTTTTCTTGTATGATATCCTTAATGTCATCCCACAGCTTATCTGTTCTTCGGGCTTTAATGGTCAATGCATGAAATCTATTCTTGAGATGGTCTCTAAATTCAGGTGGGATATACTCAAGGTCATATTTTCACTCTCGTGAACTTGTTTTAATTTTCTTCAACTTCAACTTGAACTTGCATATGAGAAATCGATGGTCTGTTCTGCACTTGACGTCTGGCCTTGTTCTAACTGATGATATTGAGCTTCTTCTATTGTCTCTTTCCACAGATGTAGCGGATTGGATTCCTGTGTATTCCATTCAGCTAGCTCCACATATATAGTAGTTATTTGTGCTGTTGAAAAAGGTATTTGCAATGAATGAATTGTTGGTCTTACAAAATTCTGTCATGTGATCTGCAGCATCAATTCTCTCACCAAGGCCATATTTTCCTACTACAGATCCTTCTCCATTGTTTCCAACTTTCACATTGCAATGACCAGTAATTATCTTAATTGCAAATTCAATTAATTTCAGACTGCAGAAGTTGGTAAAAATCTTCAATTTCTTCATCTTTTTCCTTAGTGATTGGTGCATAAATTTGAATAATAATTGTACTAACTGGTTGTCTTAGTCTGGATTCTCCAGAGAAGCAAAACCAGTAAAGTGTATATATATATGGAGAGAGATAGATTTATATCAAGGAAATGGCTCACACAGTTGTACAGGCTGGAATGTCCCAAGTCCTTGGGTCAGGATAGAGGCTTCTCCTGATTCATGTAGCCTCAGGGGCTGGCAAACTCAAGATCGGCAGGTCAGACAGCAGGGCTTCTGCTCACAGGCTGCAGAGATGTAAGAATCCCAAGATCGGCAGGCAAGATGGCAGGTAAGCTGCTAGCTCAAGTCCCAAGAACTGGTGCTCAGATGAATAGGAGCCAGCTGCAGGATCCAGAGCGAGCAAAAGCCTGTAAGCCTTGCCAGAAAGTCCACTTATATTCAATGCAGGCCACATCCCTAAGGAAACCCCCTTTCAACTGATTGGCTACTCACAGCAGATCCTATCATGGAGGTGATCACATTATATCAAATCTCATCATGGAGGTGTTCACATCATCATATGTATATATATATCCTATATGGCAACCCTGGTGGTGAAGTGGTTAAGAGGTCAGGCTGCTAACCAAAAGGTTGGCAGTTTGACTCCACCAGGCACCCTATGGGAACCTTATGGGGTAGTTCTACTCCATCCCATAGGGTCGCTATGAGTTGGAATCAACTTGACAGCAACAGGTTTGGGTTTTTTTGGTTTATATCCTATATACATAGAAGTGTGTCCATCTATCTATATTCTATATTTGTATCTATGTCTACATCTATCTACACTTGGGTACATGATTATTACTTATGTTACATGTATGGCCTATATAGATGTTTCTCCAGAAATTTTGGCCTGCTGGGCACACACTCCAAAATAACTGAAATCTTAAAACACCCTTGAGAGCTTGGATGCAAGAAAGAAAGGGACTTTTTAAAACCCTTCCTGGGAGCAATATCCAAGGCATTTATAATCATTCCTGGCACACTGAACCTTCTTGTTGCACTAGCAAGTATCAGGAAAATGATAGTGCAGTGGAAGCTGGAACTCAGGTAAAGCAGGCACATACTGAAGGAGGAAGGGAAGAGAAGTCCTGGGGAGTGAGACAAACAACACAGTCAGGTGCATTCTCACAATGGGGGGAAGGGTCCCCAAATGCTTGAATGTCCTGTCTGGTCCTTACCTACCGTGGTAAAGAGTTTTCGGATGGTAACTGCTTTGAGAATATTCCTGGGCAAAATGAAGTCTGCCATCTGAACTGCTAGAATATCACAGATCTACGCAAACAAATAGGGGAGGGCAGACAGCAGTCCATTCTGAGGAGGAAACGTAGTTCTGAGATTGAGTAGGGGGTACAAAAGTGATGTTGATACACAGACTAATCACTAAACTTTGTTCCGTCTTAAGGGAGTCCATCAACATACAGTCCTAGAATTACAGCTTAAGCCTCATTCCCAAAAGAAAAAGAGAAATAGTTTAGAGGTAAGAGTTGTCACAATCAGTCTAGTTTTCTATTTAAGTATAATGGACCTGAGAGCAGTGGACATTAGGGAGGAAGACTACATTGGGAATGAGATGTGCTGGCCCTGGTGAAAATAATAGAGATAATAATGATAACAATTATAAATGTGTGTGTGCTTATTCTGGGTAGCTTCTTCTAACTTCTGTAACAACTCCTTGGTTTCATGAACAATGAAACTAGCAAGAGAGCTTAAAAGGCCCCACTCTTAGGCTCATCCCCAGGCAGGGTTATTAGATATTCATTACAGAAAGTCCCAAAGTGCCAAGTCCAGAATTCGTTTCTAAAGGAGTCTTCTCTGGCAACCATGGCACCAAGCAACAGGAATTTGCAGGCATCAGTGAATGTCCAAGTCCAACAAGCAACGGGGTTGTGATTATGAGGTGTCAGGTCTTTCAGAGCAAGACCTGAGCAGGGCTCACAACCCAAGACTCGTGTCCTTACCCCAGGTGAGAATATTTGTAAAAGCTGGGAGAGGTGGCAGAGCCCAGCCAAGTGACTTTCAGGGAGGAACACCAGTCCCCACAGGGAAATGTGGCGTTAAGCCTTAAATAATACACTATGACAATCTTATAGGGAATAGGACGTAGAGAATCTGTGGGAACGTGAGTGTGTATGTATTGTTGCAGAAGTGCCAGACACAGTGTCTTTACGTGCACCTTTTGTCCTGGGCAATGCTCACGTAAGAACTGGAAACAGGGAGTCCCCAGGTAAAGAACATCAGCTAAACAGTGCATTAACAGGCAAGAACTGAGACTAGGGTCCTGAGAAACAGAGAGATGAGCACAGAGTCCTTCATAAAGTTAAAAGGAAAACAGAGGACGTACTTATCTCTCTTATATTAACATGAAGCACGGAGTTGATATACGTTGAAATGTATACGGTCATGATGTTACTTGACCAGTAAGCAGCAAAATAACCAAGGGAAATGACCCAGAGTGGAAGGGACTTAAGCATAGACTTGATGGGTAGAGATTGTCTACTTGAGCTGAGCTAGAGAAGAACCCATTAGTCATTAGCATATTGGAACAAGCTGAAACATATCTTGTTTGGAGCATCATTTTAGAGGTGTTAAGGGGGAGCATCTGTATTTTACTTGCTGGGCAAGGGAAGAGATGATGAACTCCTTCTCCCTGATCTTATAGATGGATGGTCCTTTGGGTCATCATAAACCAGAATTAGCCAGAGAAGACATAAGGCACAGCCACAAGCACCTACCAAAGCAGGACTAGTTAGAACTGGAATCATTTCTGTCTGTGGTGGGACTCTTTCCCAGATCGGCATTTTTCAATGTATTAGTCTGAAAACCTGGATCTTCTTTTTCTTTCTTGAAACTTTGCAACAAGACGCACATGTTTTATAGCTCCCCAGTATCCAAAGCTGCCCTCCATACCTTAGAATGAATTTTACAGGAATGGAGGAAAGCTCTCTGGACTCAGGAGATCTCCTGATCTCCTAGCCTCTGCATCTCTCCATGAACTACATCTTGGCCTTCTTGCTCTCCGGTCCTAATTTTTATAGCTTCCTAAAGTGTTCCACCACACCAGCCATAGGAGTGCTGCTAAACCCACTTTACTTGCTGGGCAAGGGAAGAGATGATGAACTCCTTCTCCCTGATCTTATAGATGGATGGTCCTTTGGGTCATCATAAACCAGAATTAGCCAGAGAAGACATAAGGCACAGCCACAAGCACCTACCAAAGCAGGACTAGTTAGAACTGGAATCATTTCTGTCTGTGGTGGGACTCTTTCCCAGATCGGCACTGCTAAACCCACACGGGGCTGGACGATCACCCAGTTTTGTGAGCAAGGCCTCAGTAATGTTCCTGAGATACAGCCCAGGCTTCATGCATTGTAAAAGTCCTGTAAGAGTTTGCCAATTTGGTTCTTGTTTTTTGAGTTTCCTATACGAATGAACTGATCATGAGGAATCCTCTGTTAGGACAAGGGCGTATGTAGTACTCACCAGTCAGTCTTCTAGAAAAGCATTCATTCATTTGACAAGTATTGATTAACTACCCATTATGTGCCAAGCCACCACCCATCTCAGTTTGTCATAATATGGTGGCTTTCATGTTGCTATGATGCTAATGTGCACGTGACTCAGGCCATGGTCTTTCCCATTACCTCATAAGCATGCAAAAGATGGACAATAAAAAAAAGGAAGACCAAAGAAGAACTGATGCGTTTGAACTGTGGTGTTGGCAAATAATATTGGATATACCAAGCACTGCCAGAAGAATGAACAAATCTGTCCGGGAGGAAGTTAAGCCATAATGCTCCTTAGAAGCAAGGATGGCAAGACTTGGTCTCACTTACTTTGAACAGACCACTAGAAGAGACCAACTGCTAGAGAAGGACATATTTGCTAAAGTAGAGGGTGAGTGGAAAAGAGAGAGACCCTCAATGAGCTGGATTGACACAGTGGCTGCAACAATGGCTCAAGCATAGCAACTATTGTGAGGATGATCTAGGACCAGGCAAGTTTCATTGTGTTATACATAACGTCAGTATCAATCTGAGCCAACTCCATAGCACCTAACCAACAACAACAATATGATGCTAGAAGCTATGCCACTGGCATTTTAAACACCAGCACTATAGCACTATAGTGGATAGATTTCAGCAGAGCTTCTAGAGCAAGACAGACTAGGAAGAAAGTCCTGGCTATCTACTTCCAAAAATTAGCCAGTGAAAACCCTATGGATCACAACAAAATATTGTTCAATATAATGCTGGAAGATGAGCCCCAAGGTTGGAATGCATTACACAATAGCCATAATAACGGACTCAAACATGCTAAGGATCATGAAGATAGCACAGGACCACACAATATTTCATGTTGTGCAAGGGATTGCCATGAGTCGAACCTACTAACAACAAATGTATGATGCATTGTTCTAGGTACTGGGGACATAGCAGTGAATAAAATAGACAAACATCCCTGCCTTCATGGGGTTTGCTTACTAGTGGAAGAGAAAGAGACAATGAAAATCAACAAGTAAAGTGTACTGAATAATAGGTGATGACAAGGAGTATGGAAGAAGGCCGTAGCGGGGAGAGAGAGAGAGACGTGTCATGCTCAGGGAAGGCCGGAATATGGATGTAGACATCTGGGGCAAGAGCACTCCAGGAAGGGGGAGAATTGCCAAGGCTTTAAGTCAGGAGGGCGCCCTGGTGGCATAGTAGTTAAGAGCTCAGCTGCTAACCAAAAAGTTGGCGGTTCAAATCCACCAGCCCCTCCCTGGAAACCCTATAGGGCAGTTCTGCTCCGTCCTATAGGGTCGCTATAGGGTCGCTATGAGTCAGAAGCAACTCGACAGCAGCAGTTTTTTTTTTTTTTTTTTTGGTAAGTCAGGAGGCCATTGTGACTGAGTGGAGTGAGCAAAAGGGAGGGTGAAAATGGATGACGACAAAAGGTAGTAGGGCCAGATCATATGGAAACTTGCAGCTTTTATAGCAACAGTATATATTCAGATGTGTTTAACTTTAAATTTTAAACTACATTCAAAGGATATTTTGACCTCACTCTGTGACCTCAGAACCCAATCCTAAAGCAAAATGTAAGTGGAGAGAAGTGAGCATCTAATAAATACATAAGCAATGCCTGCAATTGTATATGTTAGCTCGTTCAACACTCAAGAAATTCTTATGGTACTAGTATTATCTCTGTTTCAAAGTGAGGAAACTGAGGCTCAGAAAGGTCAAGTTACTTGCCCAGGGACACATGATTAAACCCATTGCCATGGAGTATTTATGTGTGCTTCCATTTATAGTCTTGCTCCAAGCCTCTCAAATGTTAAAGCAGGCCTAGCCTCCGTGTCCATTAATCAAATTTCTTTGATCTTCACCTTAACCATAACCAACAATACCATTCCTCTTGGTGTCTTTGCTTCTGACTCCATGCATTGGCCCCAAAGCTCAGGCTGTTCCTTCTCATGTTAGTCTCTTTGGCCCTACCTCCATGCATTGAACTTCATTCCTCTGGCTATTTCTTCTTGGGCTCTTTTAAAGACTTACTCTCTTCTATTTGCCATAACTCTTGCCTTTCTTCAAAGTTCTGCCCCAGGCGCCTTCTACCCTAGGGCTATATTCCCTCCTTAGACAATATCATTTGTGTTAGTGGTTAAGAGCTCTGCTGCTAAACAAAAGGCCAGCAGTTCTAATCCACAAGCCCCTCCTTGGAAACCCTATGGGGCAGTTCTACTCTATCCTGTAGGGTTGCTATGAGTTGGAATCGACTCGACAGCAAATATATAGTTCTGAGCACAAGGCCCAGCTTGTAAAAACAAACAAAACCAAACCCATTGCCATCAAGTCAATTCCAACTCATAGCGACCCTATAGGACAGAGTAGAACTGCCCCAAGAACTTAATAAATGTTGACTTCTCTCTTTCTTTCTCTTTCAATAGGATTCATGCTTTTCAATATTGCTAACTTTATATAAATTATTGTATTTGGTTTTTACTTTAGCGTCTTAAGTTCTGAACAATAACTGAGCTTTTATAGAAAGTGACTGTGATCATTATGTTCATATGTCAACTTGGCTGGGCCGTGATCCTCAGTTATGATGTAGTTCGGTAGTCATATAATGATGTGATCACCTCCATGATGAGATTTGATATGATGTGATCACCTCTATGATGGATATGCTACTAGTAGCCAATCAGTTGAAAGGGAGTTTCCTTGGGCATGTGGCTTGCATCCAATATAGGTGGACTTTCTGGCAAGACTCGAGGTCTTTTGCTCACTCTGGATCCTGCAGCTGGCTCCTGTTCATCTGGCATCTGGTTCTTGGTACTTAGGCTAGCAGCTTACCTGCCATCTTGTCTGCCGATCTTGGAATTCCTTGGTCTCTGCAGCCTGTGAGCCTGGAGAAGCCTCCAGTCCGACCCACAGACTTGAGACTTTCCAGCTTCTACAACTGTGTGTGCCATTTCCTTGATATAAATCTCTACATATATTTATATGCTTTACTGATTTTGCTTCTCCAGAGAACCCAGCCCTAAGACAGTGACTCACCAAAAATATAGAAGACAATGGGCCAGCCCAGGAACTGACAGATGAATCCAGTCAACAGCAGGACAATGAAGGGTCCCAGCAGAAACTCTAATGAAAAGACACAAAGGACACCACTGATTAATCCAGGCATCTGAAATTAGAGACAAAGTAGCCTCACAGTAGCAATGAGCAATTTCGTATGAAATAAATTGGTACAGCATAACACTGGTGAGAAGAAAAGAATAAAATATTTGCTTTTCTCTCTTTTTCTCTGTTATTTGAGATAATAAACCTACTCCATCCTAGATAGTTTTGTCATCTTTAAAGCAAGGATCTCCTCAATTTCTGGGCTCCAATTATACATGGGATTCTGAAAGAAAAGAGGAGACACATCTAACTGGTCTGCATACTGGAGATTTACTGTTATATTCAGGGATGAGAGGAAACTGGTCTTCCTGCTAATTCCATGTAAAGATAAACTAGCTCCCCTCTGCCCAACATTCCTTATTATAGGACATTCTTTATTCCTTTACAACATCCATTTTGTGCATATGTTTACATTTTATAATTGGCATCCTCAACTAATACAAAGTCCCTGTGGTCGAGGGTACCATCTGTGCCTCCAATACCTGTCACAGTGTAGACATTTAATATTTATTGCTTGAATGTTGCTAAACTACGTGTAAAGTACATGTAGTGCTAGAAACCTCAGTTGACATTTCCCTATTCAATATATTAACTAGTAGTCATTAGACAAAGCACCTCATATATAAATTATTCCATATCAACCTTATGAATAAATATGTATATACTAATAAATTTGCATGTGTCATGCAAATGAATAAGAAATAGATGATACCCCAATAGATAAAAATGGATTAAGAATATCAACAGATAATTTATGAGAGAAAAAACTGAAGCGACCAATAAACATAGGTCACAGAAATAGGAAAACATACAATCCTATTAATAATAAACAATTCTCTATTTTAAAGTTATGGTAGAATTTCTATGAGGAGTCCAGGCAGCTCAGTGGTTAAGTGCTCAGCTGCTAACCAAAAGGTCAGTGGTTCGAACCCACAAGCTGCGCCGCTGGAGAAAGATGTGGCATTCTGCTTCCATAAAGATTTACAGCCTTGGAAATCCTATGGAGCAGTTCTGCTCTGGCCTATAAGTTCACTGTGAGTCAGAATCCACTCAAAGGCAATGGGTTTTGGTAGAATTTCTAATTATCAGATTAAAAACCAGTTGCCATCAAGTCTATTCCAACTCATGGTGATCCCATATGTGTCAGAGTAGAACTGTGCTCTATAGAATTTTCAGTGACTGATTTTTTGGAGGTAAATCACCAAGACTTTCTTCCGAGGTCCCTCTAGGTGCACTTGAATGGCCAGCCCTTTGGTTAGCAGCCAAGCTTGTTAACAGTTTATACCACTCAGGGATTCCAATTATCAGATTGGTAAATTTTTAACAGAATAATAATACACATTCCTTGGCCATGAAGGAAGCCTGATTACAGAATTTCCCTCATTCATGTTCATCACTTTCTCTCTCATCTTCCTTCCTTGCTTTTTCTGTATTCAGTATCCCTTACTCTGTTCTCTGTGGTACCTATTCTCCCTTGTTTTTCTTGTTATTTTGTGCTCTTTTCTAAGGTGTTTTGTCTTATTTCTTCATAATTCTTTACTGAGTTTTGTCATTTTCCTCTTTTATCCTTCTGCTAAGGAGCCCTAGTGGGGCAATGGTTAAAGCACTCAGCTGCTAACTGAAACGTTGATGGTTCAAATCCACTAGATGCTCCGTGAGAGAAAGATGTGGTGGTCTGCTTCCATAAAGATTTACAGCCCTTGCAAAACACCACTCGACTGTGAAACTGCTTCCCAGCCCGTGCCACCATGCTGGTGGGACCTCTGGGGCTTTTTTGTTTGTTTGTTTGCTCTGATTTGTTCCGTTTTGATTTATTTTCTTTTTCTTGTTTTAGCTTGTGAGCCCATTCTAGCCGGGCAGTACTGCATGGCTTGGAAGCTGCTCCCTTACTCTGTGCAGACGCACAGGGACATTGCTGGGGACATTTCTTTTTTCTTATTTTTTGGTTTTGTTTTTTTTTGTTTTTGGATTTTTTTGTTTCTTTGTTTTTTTTTTTTTCTTCTCTCTCTTATTCCCTTTTTGTCTTTCTTCATTTCCAGTTGCTCGATTTATTCATTTTTTCTTTTACTCCTGTTCTTTTTTTTTATTTTTGTTTTCCCCTGTTTCTCAGTCTCCCTTCTCTCCACTCCAATAGCAAGCTCCCTTAGCACTTTTCTGTTTGTGTGTATGTTTTTGGATCCTGTTCCCCTCTCCTCTCTCTCATCTTTCCCATACCCATCTTAGCTCCACACATCACAATCTACCCCTCCTTCCTGTCTACCTGCACCGTGCTCTGAACATCACAGTCCCAAGCAGCACAGGCACAGCCTACTGGAACTTGATTCTCAGTCTGCACTGTCAGCCCTGGTACATGCCACAAACAACCCATCCCAGCAACTCCCCTTCTCCTGGACCTTCCCTGCTGTACCATACCTGAGTGACTGACCTTGCCCATTGGAGAAGAAGGTGAAAAGTATTGTGCCCACAGACAAACAACAAAGAACACACAGCCCGCCTGCTCAGACACAACCAAATAAAACAAAAAAGCAGGATGAAACAAACAAATCTAAGATCAATAAACGAGGAAAATAACCACCGAACGCCCGAAGACAGCAGACAATTTCAAAACATTTACAAAAACAGGACAGGATGGTTCCAGTAGGCATCCAAAATAAAACACCAGATAACCTTCCAGTCGAAGAAAAGGCAGTAGACCTAACTGATAGGGAATTCAAATCTCTAATATTCAGAATTATCCAAGAGTTGAAGAGAAAAACAGACAAAAATGAGGGAAAAATAGAAAAATGCATGGAAAAGGCAGACAAATTCATGGAAAATACAGACAAAAAAGGAAGAATTCAAGAAAATAATACAGGAACAAAATGCTAAAATAAATTCACAACTAGAAATCATACAAAAACAATAATTAGAAATCCAGAAGTTAAACTAGATTTCAGAAATGGACAGTTTCATAGAAGGGCTGAAGAGCAGATTTGAAAGGATGGAAGACAGGATCAGTGAAATTGAAGACAAACACTTGGATACAACTCTGAGAAAAAAATCAGAAAAAAGAACAAAGAAAAATGAAGAAACCCTGGGATACAATCAAAAGCAAAAATCTGTGAGTGATTGGAGTTCGAGAACAGGGGGAGAAAACAGAAAACACAAAGAGGATCATTGAAGAGTTGCCGACAGAAAACTTCCCCAATATCATGCAAGATGAAAAGGTGGCCATCCAAGAAGCTCAACGAACCCTATATAGGATAGACCCCAAAATCAAATCACCAAGGCATACCATAATCACACTTGCTAAAACAAAAGACAGACAAAGAATCCTGAGGGCAGCTCGAGAAAAACAAAAAGTCACATACACAGGAGAAACAATAAGACTAAGCTCAGATTATTTGGCAGAAACCATGTAGGCAAGAAGGCAATGGGATGACATATATAAAACCTTGAAAGAAAAAAATTGCCAGCCAAGAATAATATATCCTGCAAAACTCTCATTCAAATATGATGGTGAAATTAGGACATTTCCAGATAAACAGAAATTAAGGGACTATGTAAAAACTAAACCAAACTTACAAGACTTATTAAAGGGAGTCCTTCAACCTGAGAACAAACAATATCAGACCACAGGCTGAATATAGGACACAGGATTGTACTAGCCAGATACCAATCTAGGAAACGAACTCTTAAGGACTTTGCAAAACCAAAAGAATTACAACAGGGAACCAGAGAGGTTAATCTGTAAATGACAACAACATTGGAACAATAAAAGAGGGAATAAACGGTGTAGGTATAGAACCTCTAATGGAGAGGAAAGCGAGGCAATACCAAGTAATAATAGACTGGTTCAAACCTAGCAAGATAAGGGTAAGTTTCAAAGTAACCACAAAGAAAGTTAACAAACCTACTCATCAAAATAAAGAAGAAAAACTAAAGTCTCAGTAAAAACAAAACATACAAAAATGAAATGAAAAAAAAAAAAATCCACAAACAAAGGGAATTCAGCACAGGAGAGTAAGAGGAACAAAGAAAACGTCAGCACCACAAAATGCAATCCCACTCCTAGGAATATATCCTAGAGAAATAAGAGCCATCACACGAATAGACATATGCACACCCATATTCACTGCAGCACTGTTCACAACAGCAAAAAGATGGAAATAACCTAGATGCCCATCAACAGACGGATGGATAAACAAACTATGGTACATACACACAATGGAGTATTATGCAAACATAAAGAACAATAATGAATCTGTGAAGCATCTCATAACATGGATGAAACTGAAGATATCAGGCTGAGTGAAATAAGTCAATCACAAAAGGACGAATATTGTATAAGACCTCTAATGTAAAAACTCATGTAAAAGTTTACACACAAAAAGAAACCATCTTTGGAGTTCCGGCAAAATGGCGCTCTAGGCAGAAGCACCACACCGTCCCTCCACAGCAATGATCCAAAAAACTAAGTGAACAAAGAATACAACAATCCTGAAACCCTAAAACATCAAATGAAGAGATAAAGAACTCAGCCAAGCACCAAATGGAGTGATAAAACTGACAGAGAACAGAGGCGAGGAGAGATTCATGCAGAGGTCCCCTACAAGCTAACGCAGCACAGATCCACCATCTTGGACTCCTATTGGAGACCAGCAAATGGGGATAC